GCGGCTCCTCAGCAGGCCCGGTCCCCGCCCGGCCGCGCATCCCGGGAGTCTGCAAACATGGCTCCCAGCGTTACACAACCCCCTCCTCCCTCCCTCGCCGCCGGCCACACGCACACACGCTCCTCTGGGAAGGACCCAGGCGGGTGAGGAGCTCAAAGTTTGTTTGCCCCCACCCCACCGCCTTCCCCGGACGGCCGCGGGGGCCCGCGGGCGCCAAAGAGTTAATCCCCGCGCGCTCGCTCCCCCCTCCGCGCCTGCCCGCCTTCCCCTTCCAAGCCCGCGAGTTGCGCCCTTCCCTGCGCCGTGGCCGATGAACCCGCGGCCGGGGCCCCGCAGGTGGCCACCATTACATGCAAGTCATCGGAGGGAGAGGGCGCCCGAAAGGGGCTCTGCTTACAGCTGCCGGGGTTCGGTTCCTCAGCTCCAGGTGGATCCTCCTCTTCATGTCCATGTTTCCCTCTTCCCCCCTCTTCAAACTTAACTTTCCGCGGCGGGGGCGGAGGGGGGAGAGGCGTCCAGGCCTGCGCAGCTAGGGCCGTGGGAAGGGGTCTGCTGGCGACAGAGGCCGGCGGCGCGGTCCCGGGCGGCGGGCGGCGTGCGGACAGGCGAGCGGAGTCCCCGAAGCCAAGTTACTCACGGGAGCGGAGAGAAACCATGGAGGGAAAAGGGGGCTGGAGCGCAGCGCTGGTCTCACTACCGCCGCCCCCGGCCGCGGCCCCGCACTGCGCTTAAACCGGCAACGCGGCACAGACTGCTCGACTCGGCCCCGCGCGGCGCCGCTCGACTCGGTGGCCGCGGCTGCACCAAGGACGGGGCGGGGAGACGCGGCGGGAGGGGCGGAGGCGTTGGAGGGGGGGCGGTGAGGCGCAGCCTAGGGGACTGGAGCGACTTCCTCCCCTCCCCTCGGTTGCACGTGGGGTGGCTGATGTAAGAGCTTCCTTGGGGGCTTCCCTGCCCGCCGTGGAGCTGAGACCCCGGGGCCCAACCTCTGTGCCCGGACGCGGGTCTCCGGCCCGTGCGCTTGGACATTTGCCGGGAGGGCTCGGGGGCAGGCTTCACAGACCGGCTTCGGGGGTCGGTGAGGCCAAGTCTGTACGCGGAGGCTCGACCAAGCCAGACTGACACCCGCGAAGGCAGGAGACGGGAAGGGAGCGCGGGACGTGAGGCTTTCGGGTTCACCATCCGCTCTCCTACACGGTGTAGGTCAACACCGAACCCCGCTGTCTCCTTGGCTGGGTGGTGGTGGAAGGGCTGCGAGGACCCCCGGTCGGGAGCAGAAACGCGGCCGGCCGGCCGGCGTCGTACCGCGTGGCACCGGACGAAGTCGGCCTTCGCGGCGGGTGGGAACCGGGACAGCCCCCGCCACTTGCCCAAGCCACAGAAGAGCCGAATGTCCCCAACTTAAGGAGAATCAACCTGAGTTTCTAGTATTTAAATGTAGAGTAGCAAAGCAGCATTTAGCATTTCTGATGAGGCCTCGGAGTTTTACAGTTTTTCCGCAGACTCTTATCCCATTATTCCTTAGGAAGGACCCCTGTGAGGTGTGTAAATTCCTGATGGTCTTGGTTTCAGTGAAGCTTGGCAGGTAGCCTTTGTAATTGTCTGGTCAGAGAGCACCCGGAGAACCAGAGTTAGAGACCCCGTTTGCTTTTGCAGACCTCAGGGAGTAACCTAGGGTTATAGTCAGCTTAAAATAAGTAAACACGTCATATGTCTTAATCAGAAAACATCTTAATTCTAATATAGACAAGAAGCTCCAAAGATTGGGAACAACTTAAGAATACAGAAACACAAATCTGTACATTAACTTAGGGTTTCTTAAAGTCTCCCCCCTCCCATTTTTACCTTGGCAAACAAGCATTTATACCTATTATTAAATATGGAATGAATTAAAATTTCAAAGGGAAGTTTTAGATAATGGAAAAGGCAAAAACTTTCTAGTATGTTGTTTCCTGAGTCTAGTATTAAAATGTTACTCTTAGAAGACATCTCTGTGACGGGAAAATGGTGAGGGAGTGCTCTTCAGGATGTCACACGAGGTCTGTAACCATAAGGTTATGAGAACCACAGGGTCATGAGATGAAGACTTTTAAGAAAAACTAATAAATCAGTTCTATGAGCTAACAAGCAGTGATTGAGCATTCACTTTTAGGGCTTGATATGTTCTTTTTCATTTAATCCCAAAGACAACCTGTGAAGTAGATTGTATTTTGATCATTTTACAGATGTGGAACTGAAGCTCAGGAGCCTTAAGCTGCATGGCCATCAAGAGGTGGAGCTTGGGTTTAAACCTAGATAGATCTGACTCCAAAGCCTGCCAACTTTTCTGCTACACCATCAGTCTGACTGGAATGAAGTCATCGCATGGGGAGCTGATTTGGAACACAAGGTCAGGAACATTTGTAGAGCACCTTTAAAGAAAACAACATACAGGCGCCATCTTGTAGGTAAAAGGGAGATGCTGAAGAAGACTGGAATGTGGTAGCTCTGTGCTAAAGAGAGTGGTAACCTGGTGGTTCGTGGGGGAGGTGGTACTGATTCTTAGGGAAGAACCTGGAAAATCTTGGGACCCTGTCTTCTCTTTATGACTAACTCAAGGGTGTGAAGGACTCTTTCCTCACAAGATAAATGTGTGTTTTATAAGATTAAGCTGCAAAGTAATTAATAAACATAGCCACAATGTGCAGCAAATAAAAGGAAAGCAAAAGAGCCAAAGGAGGAGAGACTACAGACCAAGTACTGTCCCTTCTGACACAGCCGGTGCTGGCATGCACCTCTCTGAACAAAGAGCATGTGTTCCAGTGACATGCTTCTTTGTCAGGGGCTTCACTGCCAGAGGCATAAATAACACAGGCAGAACAGGGTGTGTCTCACCGCCCTGCCAACATCTTCCACTGGACTGTCAGTCCACAGGCTTGAAGGGGCTGTTGTTACAGTGCCCTGGTTTTGACTAGTGCTGTACTTAACATCATTCTGAGTATGCATCTGGGTGTGAGAAAGAAATAGAACATATAATTGTATCTAATTCACAGTTATTATGTTTATGGATTTATGGATTTGAAGGAGGGCCAGAAAGGAATAAGGAAACATGAAAACAACTTATTAATTTGTTAGGGTGTCTGAACTGTGGGTGAATCTCTTTTTACTTCCATTGATATTAATGTTTGCCTAATAAGTAATAAACGTATCAAATGATGCCTGGTTTTGGCACCCCTTTGAGTCTTAAAACTGCCTGTTAATCAGAATGTGTAATTCCAATAATCTCCAAATTGTTTGAGAACACTCTAAGCTAGTTTGTAACTCCTTGAATCTGCTCTCTACCCTACCCTACTGCCTCGGCACCAGTAGATCGTTCGTTAAATTATCGGATGCCCCAAGCCTTCCACAAATTCTGTGGCTGGAAACAAACTTTAATAAATCTGAAGATGAGAGCATTGTTTTAACAGGCTTTGAAACCAGTATGGCAGAATGGTACCCTTTCTCTTTAGTAAAGACAATATATGAAGTAGATGCATAATATAGGATGCAGAAATCATTACTCTTTAAATACTGAATACTTCCATCCTTCCCCTCCTCTCCCATCCACATATGCATACACTGGTAACTCTGCCCTCTAAGTTTCTACAGTATGCTGTGTGTAGCTGTTATAGCAGTTAGGCACCACGTGGGAGTTGTTGAAGGATCTAAAATTTCAACTAGACTATGAGCTCATACAAATATTTCTGGATGATATAAATGGAGAGTAGGAGCCTGGAGCCATCTTTAGAACATAGGTGCTCTGCAAATGTGTTCTGTTGAAAATAACGTTGCATGTAGTCAAGAATACTATCTAGGCAGCTGAGATTGTTGAGACAAGAGGAGAGGCAAATAGTTAGATGAAAGTGGGTTAAGGAATGAGATTCTATAAGCCTCCAGATGGTAAAAACAGAGGAGGGGAGAGTATCAGGTGTGTAGGCAGCTGCAGGTCCTGTAAGGGGCCCTTGCCAAGGGAACCAGATTCCTTTCTGCTCTGAAACAGCTGTAAGTGCTTGGCCTTCCTGGGGCAGCAAGGAAGCACTATGACTACCAAAAGTTAGGCTTAATGTTTATTAAGCACCATCCTTATGCCAAGTACTGTGCTTGGGACTTTCATGTATATTGCATTTCAGTTAATCCTGCCAACAGCTCACTGGGACAAGACTGTAATCCCCTTTTATTGTTTAGGAAACAGACTTGGAGAAGCCAAGTGAACTCACACAGCTAGTAAGAATCTGGATTTCTCTGTCATTAAGGCCTCACTGTAATTCATTCTCATTACTTTGATCCCCTAGTACTCACAACTGCTTCTGAAAAACCGTTTTTGTTTCCTTTGCTTTAAGAAGATTTATATGTTCATTGTGGGGGGAAGAGACATAGAAAAATAAATTTTAAATTTAAATTCCTACTATTGAGATACACCCACCATTAAGGTATATATCCTTGTAGCTTTTTTTCTTTATTGTACATATTTTTAAAAAAATATTGGAATCAGATTGAAGATTTTTTTGAAACTTGTTTTTTCCACCTACCATTACAAGAAATACAATAAAAGTGAGTATTAACTTTGCTCAATGTTTTCCCCTTTTTAGAGAAGGAATCTCGTGATGTGAAGTCCCGCTCCATCATTTACTAGCTGTGTACTTTTGGACAAACCACATAACCTGTCTAAGGCTCAGGCTGCTCATCTCAGGACCGTTGTGAGGGTTAGCCATGATCATGTGGATGAAGCTCCTACCTGGCACAGTGCCTGGCACTCTCCTCTGTACACCTGCATAGTCACTGCAAGCCCCAGTCCCTTCCTTACCCTGAGCAGAGGCCCAGAGCTTTCTGATCTCCTCAGGGGCTGTAGAAGTTTTGTGGCCATCAGTCTTCCACCTCTGCTCCATGTCTTTCACTTCATGTAGTTACCCTGCCTCTTTGATTGAGGAAAGGGCTTACCCCAAACCAATATAAGTTTTGACTTTTAAAATGGGTGGATTCATTTTTCTGTTACACACAGTCATTGGTCTCTCTTCAGGAACTGGAAATATGCTCCTGAGCTAGACCGGAAAATATCTGAGTGGCCCCACAGTGTTGGGTATGCATAATCTCCTCCATAATTAGCCAGCATCCCTACCATCTGGACTCTCTTACCTCACAGGGATTTTCTTTTTCCACACAGAACTAAGGCTGATCCAAGAGTCCTTCCCCTGCTGACTGAACTTTCTCATCTGTTCTGAAACTTGCTTTGCCAGCTCTGGTCTGGCCAGGGACCCCTTCATGGCTATGCAAGGTAGTCTTCCCTCATTCTAGACTCTGACATTCCTGAGGTGGCTTATGTGTTCCCTAATTTGCTGCTAATCTCTTATACTGGTAAAGGTCAAAAGTCCCAAATGCCCTCACACTATACTTCTTGAAAATCAGGGTAGGAGTGCCCTTCTAGTTGCTAGAAGGGATGCTGCCCAATTCACAAATCACTTAATAAAGCCAATTAGATCTTTTAAAAAAGGAAGAAAAAAGGGAAGCAAGGCAGCCAGTTTTCTGGTTTCTTTTTATGTTTATGTATATACTATAGAAAACTTGGAAACTATACTTAACAAAGAGAAGAAAATAAAAATCTCAGTTCAGGGCTAAGCATGCACTTATCACCTTTGGTGTCTACTCCTCCAGTCTTTTCTCTACACCCATATGGCACTTTCTCAAGTCTCAGATTGCCAGAAGCATCACCTCATTAATAACAGCATTTCAGGGAGACAATGAGGAGGAGAACCCACTGCATTAAATATTCATATTGAATATAGAGACATCCTTATTTCAGAAATAGTAAGTAGTAAAAAAAAAAACATAGTACCTAGGAAATACTGCATATATGACATTTAAAAATTTTTTCAAAAGCAGGATGATACAGTAACCAGCTTTTTTCACTTAACGATATATTACAAACATTTTCATGCCATTGAATAGTCTACAATATATATTCCTTGAGGACATTTTTCTACAAAATGAAAATAGCTTTTCTTTTTCTGAATATAAAGATAATACATATTCATCTAGCAAATTCATGCAATGCAAAAAAAATATAAAGAAGAAAATAAAAGCCAGTCAAAATCCCATTACCTAGCAGCAACCACTGTTAACATTTTTATGACTATTTTCTGAGCTATCTCTATGAATGTAGATGCATATATAAATATATAATATTATATAAATGGAATCATACTATAAATGGTGCTGTGTAATATGCTTTTATTTTTCACTTAGCAGTAAGTCACAGGAATTACCCCAATATAAGTCTACTTCATTATTTTTTAAAGTCTGCTTCATATTTCACTGTGTGGATGTAGCATAATTTATTCGCCTGGTCTCCTACTGATAGACATTTAGATTACTTTCAGTTGTTTACCATTATACATAACATCTTTGTATGATTAGCTCCTAGAAATAAATTCATAGAATAATTCCAGATTCCAAGTATAAATATTTTAAATTTGGATATGCATGGCAAATTGCACTTCAGAGGCTGTACTTCGTTTATACTCCCATTAACAGTATGTAAGACTTCACCCTTGCCTAAACTAGGTCTTAATCTGTAAAACATTTTTGTCAGTCTATTTTCAACTAATGTCAAAGTTGAAAACCTAAGGGTGCCAGGACAATTCAATGTGAAAGGAACAGTCTTTTAAACAGATGGGCTGGGACTATTATATATCCACATGCAAAAGAATAAAGTTGAACCTCTATCTTACACCATATACAAAAATTAACTCAAAATGGATCATAGACTCACAGGAGCTAAAAACATAGACTCGGAAAAAAACACAGGAGTAAATCTTCATGGCCTTGGATTAGGCAAAGCTTTCTTATATGTGACACCAAAAGCATAACATACCAGAGAAGAAAGAAAATTGATTTAATCAAAATTACAAACCTTTGTGCTTCAAATGACACCATCAAGAAAGTGAAAAGACAATGCATAGAATGAGAGATAATATTTGTAAATCGTATATCTAGTAAGGGACTTGTATTCTGAATATAAAAGAATTATTAGAACTCAACAACAAAAAGGCAAGTAATCGGATTAAAAATGGGCAGAGAACTTGCATAGACATTTCTCCAAAGAAGATATACAAATGGCCGATAAGTACTTGAAAAGAATTGCTAAACATCATTAGGTATTAGGGAAATGCAAATCAAAACCACAATGACTTATCACTTCATACCCACTAGATTGGCTATAATAACAATGATGGACAACAAGTGTTGGTGAGGATGTGGGAAAACTGGAACCCTTATGCATTGCTGGTGGAAATGTAAAATGGTGCAGCTGCTTCGAAATACAGCCTGGCAATCCCTCAGAAAGTTAAACATAGAACTAGCAATTTCACTCCAATA